AACAGTGATAACAGTGATAACAGTGATAACAGTGATAACAGTGATAACAGTGATAACAGTGATAACAGTGATAACAGTGATAACAGCGAAGAATCTTGTAAAAATTTGTACTTTAGTAAAAGATTTATATTGCTAAAAGAAATGTGGCAAAAAAATAATTTAAACCGATAAATATTTACAACATTTGATATTAACAAAGAACTTTTTTGGGTATTTCTATTTTTTAATCAGGAAATAATATCTTGTAATAGTGTATAATTTTCGCATAGTCAAATAAATGTCAACTAAAAGTTTACACGTAATTGATCGTCAATTGATCAGGATTCAATCTATGGTTACAGTAATAGGACCACAATGGAATGAGATATAATGGGTGCTACGCTAGGTATGCCTCATTCGCCACTCAATTTGGATTTTCCTAATTCGTCACAAATTTTTTTTAGCAATACTGCAATAACGATAAAGAAAGATCATCCGTTCTTAAACTGTTACATCCATGGTCTTATCATAATATTCTATCTTCTATATTGTTTTTATCGTAAGAAGTCAATTACGTGAGAAAACTTAAAAGTATTAAAATACGCAACAGTGATAAATTATAGCACTGTGGTTCCGTATTCGGCTTCACGTGGCTCTGTCAATCAAATTTTTTTATGTTTAATAATCTAAATTAAGAAATTAAATATTTGAGAGTTGATTTGAAAACATTAAGTAGGGCATATGTATTTCCTGGATCTTAAAACTTAAATAAATACGCTCATAGTCTTTACTGTCACGACATTAAAAATAAATGGATCCATATCCAGGTAAAAAATAATTTATTTTCTTTTGATCTCAGAAATTGGTGACATAGCGAAGACGTGATCTAATTTAGTCTGATCATAATATATCCCACACTTTGATCCAAGAACACAAAATTTAACCCTTTTCTAATATTATTATATTATTATTTTTAGAGTCTCTGCAGAACAGTTTTTTGATTGTTCCTAATAACTTATTTCTGAAATGTGAACATGAAAAATATGATCATCCGGAGAGACGCGAAAATACGAAATCTCAAACGGACATAAAGCAGTATCGATTTATTCCTTATGGAAGACGGGAATACGAAGGTCAAAAGAAGCATGCTAAAAGACAACATGCGAAAATTAACGAATTTTGTGATGAAATTGAACGGTTAAGATGTTTAATTACAAATTTGGAAGCTGAAAACAGGCAAAGTATTTTAACTCTTATTGTTTTTATATTAGTTAATTTATGACACGATATTAATATACTTTAATTTAATATCTAGCTTTTATAAATATATTATGTTTAATCAAACTTATTTGTAATAACGTTTACCAAAGCCCTTAAGTAAAGTTGTTTAACAATCGATATTATTATTATTAGTTTTTATTATTATACAGTCAGATCTCTTTTAAATGCACGATCTAATTAATATAATGCTTAGAGATTTTTACCTCCCTAATGCATCCTCTAAATGCACGTATGACTAAATTTTATATACGGCCCGTCGAAACGCATTTAGAGAGGTCTGATTGCATAATAAAATTATGCAAATCGCAAACCAATTACAGTATTTAATAAAATGTATCTTATTGAGATACGCCAAGACATTTTAGCTTTATGAATTGTTATTAAGCGGTAGATAAATTAAATCAGGTGACATTATAAAGCGTGACTATATATGTGTTAGCTTTAAACTTTAAATTTTTGCATGGAATCTAGAATTAAGACATTATCATTTAATAATGCAGAAATAAGAACAAGACGTTACTTATTTAGAGAAAACATATTTAGAATATTAACTGTGCAAACCAACACTGTATTATGTTTTTTTTACTTTCTCTGACACATAATTAACCGGTTAACTTATATAAAAAATAAGCAATCGATAATTTGTTAAATCCAAAGTTATGAATTGTAATTTAGAAATGTATGTAACACAAACCGATTTTCTTAAAGTTCATATGGATTATAAAATCAAAAAATCCTTAAACAAGTAAAAACTTTTTTGAATAATAATTAATAACAATAATTTTTTGCCAAACTTAATTAAAGAATAACTTTCATCTCAATTATTTTTATAATTATTATTACATTAAAGGAATTTCATAAGTTTATACAGTACCGGACAGCAAAACGCATCCACTTTTTATTAATAAAAACTTTAAATCATTATAACTTTTTTAAAACAAGTTAAACCAAAAAACCCTTCGACAAATTGATAGATATTTGGCCAAACTACATTTTTGTTGGAGGATTTTCTATTATTTTTTGTTTTAAAAAAGTTATTAAGAGTTAAACTTTATAATGATTTAAAAAATTGGCGTTTATTATAAAAAAAAAAAAAAGAAATTATATATGTTTAATTAACCAATTAGAATTAATTACATCAAAATTAACCAATCAGAATTGATTATATAAGCATCAAAAATTGGCGCTCTATGTGGATGTCTTATGCTGTCCGGTACTGTACAATAACTCGAATTCGAATTCGAAGCTTTTAAAAAAAAAATTCAAGCAAATACTTTAAGTAAATACTATAAGCTTATATTGTTAGTGATTGTGATGCACATTAGTCATTGAACAAATCGCTTGACATCCAGGTCACACACCATGAGGAGGTTTGCATCATGTGACCCAAAGGAGTTTAAATTTGTGAATTTAAAAAAAATTATAAAGACAAGAATTATTAGTTTATTTCTTTCAATTCATTTATTTCCTGATCTCTTAAAAAGATATCAAAATGATAAAATACGATACCAATGGTGTCCAAGTTATTGGTAAAGTGATTTGCATTTTTCGGCATCTGATAGCAAATCACTTTTGTAGATTGTTTTGTCACAACATTATTTATATTAGTTCAAACTGTAACTTCTACTTCTTTGAAAACAACGAAACAAAAAAGGTTGTCTATGAACTAGTTCTCCAGAGTCAAGACAACCTACTAAGCCTGCTAATATTGCACACTATGGCAATTTTATATAATCTCTGTACATCAGTTTTTTGGGGTAGGTTAGTTCTTTGCTCTAAGAGCCAACAAAAAAAAGCCTAGTTTTTTTAACAATAATTGGATTATCATATAAATAAAAACAAATTCAATATTAAATATCTAAGCATAAAAATAAGGGAAATTCTATTTTGACCCTGGTCATTTTAACCCGTCACGTGATCATCTGACCAGTGTGGCTTGAATCGAGCTCCGAGGCAAATCTTACGTTTTTGATACACCTGCACATACTTTTTTGATACTGATCGACATGCAGATCCCGGTAAAAATA